ATATATATATATATATATATATATATGCGCATATATATGAATGCAATTTAACAAGTTTTTAGTTATTTATAAGTTCTAGATGTTTATGGTCGATCTTACTAACAAACTGCAAATTTTTTAGTTAAGATTAAAAAAGAAAGGCTTGGACTGTTCAAATAAATCAAATTTTTGATTAGAAACTTCAACTTTATTGTAACAAATTTATGGCGGACATCAATCCACATCAAATTCATTTAAAAATTGCTTTCGTTTGAAAAAATGCCATTTTTTTTTGTATGCTATAGAAAAAACTATCTTGTAACAGTTAAAAGCATCTTCGATAAATTCTTTAAATTTTTTATAAAACTATAAATTAAAATCTCCAAAATAATTATATTCATCTTCAACAATAAATTTTCTATTTTGAAGAATTAATATTAAATATTTGTTTTCAAAGTTTCATATTGATGCTATCGCTTGATAATTATTTTTGGGGTGATCTTTATATTTGGAGAAAAAACCATTCTCTCTCCTACTTTTTCCATTTTGAAGATAGTTTTGGAGAAATTGTTAGAGTAAAATATTGGTTTAAAATCCTCATTTTCTCGATGTTTCCTATTTTATGGAAGCTGTTAGAAATGCTCTGAGGGAGATGGACCAAACTCGGACGTTTTCATAAACCATAATGATTTTCTTGTAGTTTTGAAATTTCAAAGACGAAAAGTGTTATTTTTGACAAATCATACGGACTAAATTTGTAGTTTACTTTTATAATTAAAATTACATTGTGATCCTTATAATATAAGAAAATGACTTTTGGCATCCTCCTTTTGATCCTTTACCCTTCAATCTCAAAAACGCATTTCGGCATATAAGACAAGATAAAATAAAAAGTGATAGTAAAAAAACAGTCTTGCATATGACTAATAATTGACCTAGGATATATGAGACTAGGCCAGATAGCTTTGTGATTTTTTTGTCACCCTGTAAATAATATGAGACAAAGTCAGGTCAAAACGAAAACTGTAAGTTTCATTGTCGAGAGGGAAACAGCCCGGATCACCAATTAAGACCCCTAAATGACCGTTCAATGATAAAGAAGTAGTAAGGGTGCAGAGATAGCCTGGAGATTTGCCTTGAAGCAACCACCATTGAAAGAGTGCGTAATAGCTTACTTTAATGTCCTTGAAAAAGATTCAACAAAAGACAGAAACAGATCCATCGAGAAACATTTGCTAAGAATAGCGACTAGCCATGATTATGACGAGACAATAGTGGAAACTTTAGTGGTAGAGCTCGCAACTCAATTGATGGAGAAGTGGACAACGACTTTTTGTTACCTTTTTTAATTGTTAAAAGTAAATCGTTTCTAAGATTTTACCTTTAAATTTGTTTACTTATTAACTAACAGTTATTAATATATATAATACTAATATTAATTGTAATGCATAAGTTTTTTTTTTATTAACTTGGATATCCAACCCGTTATGCAAGCCGACTAATCCCAGAGCGACCACCTGCTTTGTAGATAGCCCGGAGTCACCGCATTTGAATCTCCATGGCCATAAGGGGATTTTTATTCTTTATTAGATTTGAACCTGAGACTTCCTGATACTTTTAACCTTTAGAGACAAGCTCAAACCAATCAGACACTACCCTTGTGGTTTATAAGTTTTTTTTTTTAATTTTGTTTAAAAGGATAATTTAAGTATTTGATTATTTATTAAAAAATTATCATTAATTATTGAAACCTATCTCAAATGCTCACTTATTTTAATACCTTAATCCCGATACTAATTTGATTTTGTCCCTAAAAGAACTTGATTTGAATATGGATTATTTTGCCCTGATCGGTCGATTAGCTCCATTTACTGATCAAGCTATGGGTTCGTGTCTACTCGTGTTTTTGGTCACCTTTGTATTCTGTAATAATCTTTTATAAGATTAGATCAATAATTGAACATTTTTATTAAGATATATACTTATATAGATAAACTTGGATCACGTGAGACCAACCTGTTTTCGTGAGATCCGTGACACTACTTTTTTATACTTGAAACTTCACCGCAAAACGCTTTAAAAGTAACCTACTTTCACAATGTTTTACTGTGAAGTTTCAAATGTAAAAAAATGGTAACATAAAAATTGATATTAGTTGAACCCAATCCTATATATATATTTAGACAGACATTTATTTGGGATACGTGGCGTACAAGTATACGTAGCTGAATTTGATCCTAATTTCCTACCACCCTTACCCATCCATCCATCCATCATCCAAAGACTCCATTTTTAGCGTGCCCCCTTCTTCCTTTTTGGCTCTAAAACCTTCTCAACCCCACTCCTTGAAATCTTGCCAGATTGAAATCCAAAGAAAGCAACAGTTGCCCATCCTCATCTCTCTGTATCTATATCCACATATTTATATATACATGTGTGTATATATATATGTGTGTGTATCTATAGAGTGAGAAAGCAGTAAAAAAACCCTGAAATCAGAATAAAGAAACCTAAAATACCCAAATGGATCTTGGCAATACTACAAGAAGCAATGTCATCTTCCACTATATATTCTGTCATCACTTTTCTTCCTTTTCATCTGCATCATCAGCACCTTTGTTGTCTTCCTCTTCCTCTTCCACTTCCTTATCACTGGGAGCTTTTTTTTGTAATTTGATGGCCTCATCATCATCATCTAACCCTTCATCCTTTTCTTCTTGTAACTCCATTGATGCTCATTTTTCTGCTAAAGATTACATCTGAATCCATAAATTTCTTATATTTTCTTGTTTTTCTTTGACTTGCTTCTTGTAAAGTTCAACCCTTCTCAACTTTTCTTGAAGAAAGAATGTTGCTTGTATCACTGTTTGGATTCTGTCATCAACACCAGATGACTAGTTCTTCAATGTGTGGGCCTACCCTCAGGTACTGATGATGATTTTGATTTTACTCTTGTTAATTCAAGAATCTAGCATATGGGGTTTGTTCCCTTTTTGATGAACTTTCATCTATCTTGCCATTTGTTGTTGTTTGGATGAGGGTTTTTGATTCTGTTTAGCTTTATCTGTTACTTGTATAGCATATATAAATCAATTGGAGAAGAAATTGTGCATATGGCAATATGGGTTTATTCTGTATTACCATATTCAGGTGTGGTGATGACAAACCTAAAAAGATGGCCAATTTCGCTACTCCGGCCGCCCTGCTGCTGCAAAACAAGCGGAAGTCGAGCTGTTCGGCAACCATTGCAACCTTGAAAACCCATCATTTTTCGCCTCCCAAATCCTACCATGAGGTCTGAATTCCTGTTAACTTCACATTTTCTGTCATATCATCAATACCCTTGTGCGTTTATCTAATTACACTTGTTGATCTATCTTTTCTGTAGTCGTTAGTGATCAAAATGCATAATTATATCGCTCTTATAATCTATGATCGCGGAAAATTTCAGGTTCTTGTTGCTGCAAGGGAAAAGTTTACGCAAGAAATATCTTTTCGGTCCAAGGACAAAGATATCTCCCTTGCTAAGGTGATCTTGCGGGTTTTTGAGTCAGTAAAGCACTAAACTTTATAAGACAGAGATCATGAATCCGACTTAATCTGTTTGAATCGAAGTTTTAGTAGGATTATGCCTGTTGTAGTATTTGTGTACATTCCACATAAATCTTTGTGTTCTCTCTTCATTGGTGTGGTTGTTCATGTTTTCTTGGTTATTTGGAAAAGATCCAAAGAAAAGTTTGATTTTTAATCTTCTTTCTTATCAAGAACATAGCATATATTTAGGATTAACTTTCTTTTCTATCAAATTTGCAGACTTTGCTGTACATTTCTGCCGAAGATGAGGCATTTATGGCTTTTAACCGCGAGATGGATGCCCATTCTCTAAAAAATGAGCGGAAAGATACCAATGTGTCATCTGATGCCCCAGATTGGGAGCACATCGAAGCTATTCTTATGGCAGGAAAGAAGATAGCCGAATGGTTATTAGAATTGGATTCTATAGCGAAAGAAGTTGAAGTTGAACTCATTTCAAGAGACATCGGGTGCCATTTGGTGGAAGTTTTGGAGGCTGTGAACAAAGTTCTCTTCGAATCTAAAGGCTTCAGAAGATCACCTGTTGTAGATTCGAAATGTTCCTACTTGCATTCCGTTTTAAGCTCCAAATGTGGCAGTGGTACGTATAACGTATTCATTTTCTTGGTATTATAACTTGTTTAAATCCCCAGTTTGAACCTGATTTACGATCATCCTTTTGGCAGCGATTTTGCTTAGCATAATTTACATTGAAGTTTGTCGAAGACTTAATCTGACTATTGTTGGATCCCGGGTGGGAGAAGACTTTCTAATTTGGCCTGAAACCGGGAACCCAGAGGTAAGTTTGACTCTAGAGCTTGAACATATTGTAACTTTTAACGAAACTTGAAACTTGAAAAACAATCGGTCTCAGGAGCTTTTTAAGGTGAATTCAGGGCACAGCATATTTGGGATTGTTAACGGACGGTGTGTTGAGGACCCGAGATCAATGGCATCCGATTTAACCTGTAATTCACTTATTGGTCTTGACATTGCTACAAACCGCGATATTATTGGGATTTATCTGGCTAATTTGATTGTAAGAAATCTCTACAACTGAACAGCTTTTCAAATCGTTATCATATATGTATATCTCTGTGTTACACTTTTCACAAGCTGGGGGTCTTCAAGGGAACACTGGGTCTGCTCTTTGGAGTAGAGGTCAGGTCTGCTTACATCTTACCCTCCCAAGACCCCACCTCAGGTGGGATATACGGGGTTCGTTTGGTTTGCTTTTTTTTTCCTGCAACTATAGAGAAACTTCATTTGACGGTTGTTTTTCTCGACTTTCTTTAATTTTGTAGCGGCTTCATTGGAAACGTGCGTCAAGGACGAACCATGGATTGATGTTAACTTCTCCGCTCAGGCCCATTCACGATGATAATGAGAAATGGAGCAAAACAGATAGTTCAAGCATGCCACTGTTGCGCCCTCAAGATCTTAGGTAAAATGGACCTCACTTTTCATTTTAGCCGAAATGACGATAACCCAAAAAACTTGTGGTCTAAACGATCTGATTCCGTGTTCGGTTTTTGTATCGTAGGCTAGCTATCATGGCGTCGGAGAAACTGTTGATACTGCAGCCACATAACTGGGCTTTGAGGAGAGATCATGGCATGATGTTGTACTATAGTAGGTACGCAATGCAATCTTCGCTTAGTTAGTCGAGCGTAATTCTAAACGGTTGAACCGAATCGAAACAAACCGATGATTTTCGTACGATTTTGTCAAAGGGTTCAGTTTTGTTTTGTACGATTTTGTCAAAGCGTAATTCCATCATATATTCATATTTCTTATGTCGATGGCAGGGATTATGCGCAGGCGGTTCAAGAGCTAAGCATTTGCATGGCGTTTGCACCCGAAGAAGAGGCCGAAGTCCTGGAACCGTTCGTCGAAAAGTTGCATTTGTTACGACTCGAGTCCTCGTGGAAGTCTCGAGGACATAAAGGACGCTTGACGGTTTTGTAAAGACGTGTTTATTTGTTTGTACAAAATCCCTCTGTTTTGTTCGACCTGTTTGACTCGTAACTTACAAAATAACACTTCTTTTCGACTTGTTTGACCTGTAAATTACAAAACGATATATTATTTTTAATATCTCAATTTTTTGAAAAAAAATGGTAATGGTTTAGACCAAGTTTATAGCAATCTCCCCAATCAGGATTGTGAAAAAAACAAAACATTTTTTAAAAAAGTAATTAAAAAAAAAACCCATAAGGATGATGTCTGATTGGTTTGAGCTTGACTTCAAATGTCAAATATACCAGAAAGTCTCATGTTTAAATCCAATGAGGAATAATAATTATATATGATAAAAATTTATATATATATATATAACTTTTGCAAAATAATATTTTAGGTGGATTACATCACTAAAGAGCTATAAAGAAACTTAGATTGAATTGAAATTGAAGATTGTATAGATAGATGAGAGAGATTTCAGATTTCAGACTTTAACGTCACCTCTTATAAATCAAAAATAAAATCAGATTTCAAACTTCAACACCTCTTAAAAAAAACAAATTATATACCAAATTATATACCATGGGATATACTACAACTACCATAAAAAAATTTGGTTTCAAGAAAAACAAGGTGGATATGCTTATGCTTTTTATATCCACTTGTGGATATCAATTAACAAAACAATAATATTACATGATATGCATTTGATATTTTGTTCCCCAATATATTCTTAGAAAAAATATAAAAATGTTTTAATATTCCAATAAAATTGCTTTCTTTTTTCTTCTAACAATTCTTGATTTATTTAAACGGTTAGATCGATTTTCTTGATCTGTTAGCATAATTAAAAAATATGCATTCAGATCCGGATCATATCATATCATATCTGTATTAACAGTATAACCATACACCATATATGACTGTATTTTTTAATTTTTCTGTCTACATAATATGAATAACAAATACAGATATGATGGTATCTTTTTATGTGACCAATTATAGCATATACGAATATGCATCATCACCTCATTCTTCGGATATCCATTTACGACTGTAGATAACATAGTTTTAAAAAATAAAACGAGAAAATGGTTTAAATATTTATGAAGGATTATCATGTTGCATTATGATAATGAAGCATGTGATTAAACAAATGACATTATGGTATGTGGACAATTGGTACCAAACAACAATGGTGGGGTGTTATTCCATATGTTGTCCCTATCTAATCATAACCTCTTTAATATTAATGTATCTTCCAAAACAATGTTAAGTAAAACAACAACATCTGTTTTTATTATTGTCTGGTATCAGAAACAAAATTCTACAGTTTACATCTTTTAAGTCATACCCATCAAAATGCAAGCTTTTTTTGTATAAACTAGAAGCGTACTCGCGCAATGCAGCGAGATACATCGTGTGTTTAATATTTCATTTTATTCTTTATCTCAGTCGATATTATAATATGGCTTTATGTGATTTTGAGAAAGCGATGATGTTTTTA